TGTTAGAAGAAATTGTCCCATGTACAAAAGGATCTTCAAAAATCCTTTATTCGCTTTAATACTATTTTTATAGACACACCGAATAAAAAATCATCCTTAAAACCAACTTATAAAGAGGTCATTTCGAATATGCTTCGAAACTCGCTAGCATCCGTTGGCCGGCAGGCAGCACATAATTGAGTTCGAATTCCGATGAGGATGAAGATTAGAAAACAAATTAGGTATATAGCATCGGTTCTTATGTAAATACAATTCATAAATTTCTAGATCTAGTGTCAAAATCAACAAGACGTGGACTAGGAGATGCATGGCTATCCACAATCCAGCATGGGTCGTATAATAATTGCCCAGACAAGGATGGTCACAGTCCTATTTCTTTCAAAAAGTGGCAAGCTTGAATAAAAAGATAATAGATAAAGTATAAATTTACTTATAAACAGGCATGGATATCATGTGCATCGATTTCAATATTTCAATACTTGGGCATTGTCAAATCGCCACATCATTAGGTCAATGTGAATGAATTGTACCCAAAAATAAAATAAAATAATAATGAATAAATTCGATTTTAAAGTCTAGGTTCCGATCAGAACCAATCGATTCCTAATTTACTTTTTTTGAAACCAGACTTGAACCTTCGATACCAATTCAATTGGTTTGATTTCGATTAAAATGTACACCCTTACTAATAAGGTTATACATAAGTAATAAGAAAGTTACTGTTATGCCTTTCTACACGAGGACCCCCACATGGTCTCAACCATCTTACAGGCAAACGGTTCAGCAGTCCCATGCCATATACACTAATATGAGGTTATATATAAGGTTAAAATGTACACCCTTACTAATAAGGATATATATAAGTAATAAGAAAGTTTATGTTACGCCTCTCTACCCGAGGACCCCCACGCGATCTCAACCATCGTACAGGCAAACAGTTCGGCAGTCCCACGCCATGTACACTAATATGAGGCGAACTTGGACCGACACTCAAGCGCGGACGATCCACTTTCCCTGCGAAACAAAGCTGAACCGACCCGTTACATGCGGACCCCATGGGAAAAGTCAACACAGAACGAGGCGGTGAATAGATCTTAAACAGATCTCGTATTATGTGATTGATAAGACAACTCACTGCCACCGTCGACGTCGTCACCAAACTATTTAGTCAAATCCAAGGCCGCACGTTAGGCCTTATGGATACAAAAATAGTATTAGCATTTAAAGTTGTAATTAATTGATGTCTATGACAAGAAATATAAGTCATTTGGATGAGATCACGTGCATTGTTATCCAACGGCCTTCATTCATCTTGCCCAAGTATAAAAGCTCACATTTAGTGACATTCAAAGGTAATGCAAATTTATACTCTCAAAGTTATAATCTTGCTACCATACCTTATACTTATTTTTCTCCAAACAGTTGGGCGAACAGATAACATTAACGTGCAAACAAATATTTCGTGGAAGTCAATTGATAAACATCAATTTTTTTTTCTACGAGCTATGCTTGAGTATTGGCAGGGGACAGAATCTTACACTATCCAGGTCTTAAATGTAAAGGCATCTGAAAGCCATCAAGTGAG